TGATTTCTTCATCGTTGATGCTTCGAACTGCAGAAACGACATCTGCGCACCGTGCTAACCTCTGTTAATTAATTAGCTATATCTCGACGTTTTTCAAATGTCACCAAGTACTAAATTTCATATGATTATTAGACTGTGGATTTTTACGCATTTATGGATAATTGGGATGTATGAAAGTTTGTAGAACGTATATAGAGAAATGCGTAGAGTATTTTTTATTAGATTTAATACTGCATTTAGTATTGGTGTATACGCTTGCTAGTCTTTGTTAATTAATTAGTTATATCTCGGCGTCTTTTAAATGTCACACTGCTAAATTTCATATAATTATTAGACTGCGGATTTTTACGCATTTATGGGTAATTGGAAGATACGAAAATATGTAGAACGTATGTAGGAAAATGCATAAAGTATTTATTTTAATATTTAATATTTAGTGTTGTATATATATATATATATATAATTTAGTACTGTACATATGTATAATTTTATATTAATCTCATAATAAGTGAAATTTATGTTAATCAAAGTTACGATATAAAGTAGATGGAAGAAATTTCTATTTAGATTTCATTTCTTTAACTATGTTCGCAAAAACTTTAAAGTACAGAAAAATCGGCAGTATAATAATTATAAATCAAATTGTAAATCAAACGATGCAAGATATACCACTTGAATAGAATATTTATCAACACTGCACAGAAAGAAATACATAAATTTTTTCTCTTATTGTTGAACGTTAAACAAATATTCCAAAACTTATCAAATTATCAAGGTATAATCATAATACATTTTCCTTCATTAATTATTTTCTAGAGTTAAAAGTAGCTGAAGTTAGAAAAAAGCTATCAAAAAGACTAAATTATCAACAGATGATACTTTAGCTATTATTCCTGAATTGTTAAAGTTGATTAAAATAATTGATTATTAATTTTTGTACATTTTGTACATTTTGTACATTGTTCTACTTTGTTTCGGATAATCTTGAGTTACATTGGCTAATTAAGAAAGGAATGTTGCTGCTACGTGGACTTTACGGTGCGTTGCTAATCGACCTTGATAAGGTAGCAGCGGGTTCAACGGCGCGCATGCGTGAAGTTTAAGGTTTAAGGTTAGGTTTCCGATGGAACCTTGAAACTGGGTCGAAGAGATATGTTACTTTTTTGTTTAATTAAATGTCGAAATGTGTATCGAATTTATAGATTTCATAGATCGCTTTGAATATCTGTGGTTTTTATAGTAAAATATTCCTCTCTGTCACTCAACCAGGGGATGATTCTATGATATTTATGAAAATGAAGAATAACATTTTTGCATCTTGGATTTCGTTTTCGAATGTTTGAAAATTTGTCAAATATAATTTCTGGTTAATTTCAGACTAAGTAGAGGGAAATATTATATCCGTGTAAAAATAAATGAAAAATATGGAATAAAATTTTCTTCGCTTTGTTAAAAAATTAATACACGTGTATTAATTTTAAGCTAATACTTGTTCAAGGACTAAACATGTTCAAAGTCTATTCTCCTGAAAACGAGCTTACATTTTTTACTTAAATTTCTCGAATTAAATTTTCTCAGAAGCAAAACATTTAATGAAAAAACTTTATTCTTCATTTTCATTTCTTATCAATCGTTCACTGTTATCCAATCTAGATTTTTTTTCTAAAACAAAACTTCCCATGAAAAAACTTTTTTCTTATTTTTTTCACAAGAAATCATGCTCAATTTTCAACTGTACCCAATATAAATGAGAGCTGCTACTCTTTATTATATTATTTCGCGTAGACTTCAATTCATTGTATTACAGAATCTACTGGTAATTTACTATAATTTACAGAAGCAAATTGTATACTTCAATTTCGTCTGTGGTTTCTATTGTTAATTTTTTCAAAATTATTCAGTCGCCGAATTTATAATTATCTTCGAATACTCCTACTTTCTAACGCAACTTTTGTTTCGACCGACGAATCCTTTCGCCACTTCCATTCATCCACCAGTTAGCTTTATTCGCGCGAAGCTCGATTGTTTTACATTACCACAGAATTCTTCCGCGTCGCTATTAATCTTGGTCCATGATAAATTTATCTACTTGGCTCTTCATGGCTTCTAGTCTTTTTTCACTCATTCCTACTCTTTCTCGTTGCCAAATGGCTGGCTAGCCGCTAAATATACTAAACACATTCTTGAAAACTCGTTGTCGTATCGAGAGACAGGCATTCATGCAAATGGGCACCATATAGAGACATTAGAGATAACGCGATTTTTATTGAACACGAGAGAGAGAAAACGACTCGCTAGTAATGACGTTTTCGATGTGGAAATCCGCGAATGAATTATAACATTTGGTAATGAAATTTCGATGGGTAGTTTGTCTTGGATAATGGAAAACGTGAGACATTGTAACATTCTTATCGAATGCTCGTACGTTCTGCGTGCACATATGTATATCTTTATCGGTTGATTTTCGAAAATTTCTCCTGCGTTCGATTGCGAGGATATTTCTATTCAAGAGATACGATCGATTGGATTAGCAATATATTTCTTGGATCCATTAAGGATTGAACGATGATTCATCGCAACGTTGTAAGTAGTAAAATTTCTTAAAATCATAGAAACTGGGTGAAAAAATATATAATGATTTAGTGGAAATATATATTTAACGAATCCTTCGGATTTCTTTTTATCATCCAAGTATCGAAGGATATTATAAATTGATCGAGAAAAATTGCAAATGAAATGTTGCTCCTTGAAACGAATACTGTTAGACTTTCTAAAACTGTTAGATCCTGCTGCTGAAATTTCTGATTTAAGATACAATTGATAGTAGATTAATAACACATTTCTATATTTATTATCTTAATATTATAAATGTTTAAATTTCTGGAAATTTTCTAAAGATGAAATCATCAATATTCGTTTCTTCGATCGATTAAATATTGAATCTTTCTGTTTCACGTGATCTTTCGACACGGTTCTTTTTTGTTTCAGTGCGGCAGCATTCTGCATGCACAGCTGGAGATTTGGAAAGCAGCGGTCGAAGATTCGCCGCGTAACACACTGGCAGCTTCCTGGGTTCCCCCCGTTGTTCAAACACCAAACAGCAATAACAACGCACCGTCCCCTATTGCAAATACAGCTCCAGCCAGTGTTAAAGGCTCCACTTGCAGCGTAGATTTCTCCGATGGTGAGTCGATTTCTAAATTTCATTTGGAATTTTATAATTGCTCTTAATATGCCGAGCTGCTTTTGCCTTACAATGGCCAATCGAGGACAAGTAATAGCACGATTTCTCTGACAGTTGAATTTAAAGATGTTGGAATTGTTACTATCGAAGTTTTAGGGAATTGGAACAAGAGACTTTGTCACGAATTATAAAAATATTATGAAAAATTATGGAAAACTTTGCGTTACTTACGGGATGACCCAATATTTATAAATTCGGGAATTTATTTCGAACCAATTTTAATTGATAATATAAAATATGTAGGATATATCTAATTAATCGTATGTATAGTAAGTAAAAACGAAATTGTAAGGCAAAAGATATAAACAAATCTTGCCGTGATATCGAATTAGACATGCTTGCTCTTTCAAATACAAATTATGATTCATTCGTAATGAAATTCGCGAATTGAAAACTCCTTGCCAGTTTCGTCTGTTTTTACAATCAGTGAAAAAATTTGCTCTGCAAATAAAACGTACTATCAAACCTTCAAATCCAGCAATAAATTATACGAATGAAAATTTAAAACAAAAGAATTAACCGTTCAGTGCACACGGTTGCAAACTTGCAACGTTTTATATCATTAATTCTAAATTTAAAGAAAAAGCGCGCGAGCAACTCAAAAATATCAAAAACAATTCTAGACGACCATAATCAGTGACACGAAACGCTTAACCTTCTAACTCCTCCTTCGCCTTGTTATCTCGAATATCTGGTATAAAGCAACAAACACCTGGTTCAAACAATTCATCAAGCAACTAACAGCAAGAACAACCTCAACTAATGCACATACATACATATTATAATCGTGTTTCTATTCAATAACCATCAACTGCACCTGCTTTTGCAACCGATTCTATAAATCATACATGTTTCTATAATCATCGAACGCAACAAATGCACTAAATTGTACAAACGGAAACTCGGTAAAATGATTGTAACAACACGAACAGCCAAAATGGTTATGCTTCTATCTCCTCCGCGTTGTCTCAACAATCGCTTGATACATCGATCGATCAATTAACAGCAAGAGCAACCTCGAAAAACTCACCTATCCAATGACCAACTAACAACCACCAAAACCAAGCCTGTCGACCATCGACTACCACAAGCTACACACGCGTCTAACCATCACGCTGATCAGAGAGAGAAAGAGAGAGAGAGAGAAAAAAGCATGTCACACGTTAGAAGAAAATCGGCAAGTTTCTAATCTTTGCAAGAACACTATGTCACGAAGCACGCAAACGCAGGGGGGAAGTAGTCTCGGACGATTGACGAAACCGGGGCGTTTCCGGTCGAACGCCGATTTCTTTTTGCAGACGAGGACGAGGACTGTGGCTCGCAACCGGGAACAGGCAATGGCGGCAGCGCCGGCGGTGGTAAAATGCGCAACGGTGGCTCGCACATTCACCTGTGGCAGTTCCTGAAGGAGCTGCTGCAGAGCCCCGGCATTCACGGGTCCTGTATACGCTGGCTCGACCGCGGCAAGGGTGTGTTCAAGATCGAGGACTCGGTGCGCGTGGCGAAGCTTTGGGGCAAACGGAAAAATCGGCCGGCCATGAACTACGACAAGCTGAGCCGCAGCATCAGACAGTACTACAAGAAAGGGATCATGAAGAAGACGGAACGTAGCCAGAGGCTGGTCTATCAGTTTTGCCATCCTTACTGCCTGTAAAGTCTTGCGCCCCGGTCCCGTTAAGCCTTTCGCGCTCGCGAACCTCCGACAGTATGTTATCTCGACGCTATTCAAAAACTTCTCATCGTATTTTATCCCCGCGTTTATGGAACGCGCGACGAATGGACGAAAGATCGATCCTGCATCTCGTTCGATCGAAATTCACGATTTAAAGACAGATTCGGTTATTTATGTTGCGAGAACGCGTCGGGGTAACATCATCGTCGTTGATCGAATCATGCGCGATTCTCGTTTAGGCGCGTCAGAATCGCTGATAAGTTTGATCGTTATCGTCGATCGGTTTGTCGAACGAGCGCGAAGGGTTAACACCGAGGTTTGGCCGGTTTCAGCCTCAAGGTCGTCCAGGCTGATCACCTTGAGGCCGGCGTTGATTTTCGAAGGGGAGTTACGACGAAGGGCTTCCGACTCTTTCCGCGTGCAATCATTTTTCTCGCCGAGACTCGTCGCGAGGACAAGCGACGCGATATCGCGTGTTCCTCTCCGGTGTGGTTGACTTTTACGAGGAAAAGATGAAAAAGAAAAAATTAAAAAAAAAAAAA